GATCAAATGAAGTAACTATAACAAAACAGATCAAATGAAGTAACTGCAAAAGTCATTTGTTTTTGCAAAAGTCATTTGTTTTCAGAATTTTCAAAAAATTCAGGATGGCATACACTTCATACTTTGAAGCACTGGAAGAATGTCAGCTAAGTTCCTTGGAGTATCGCAGGCTCTATAATGATTTGGTCTACACGTATAAAATTATTGTTTCCAAAGAAATTATCATGGAGGTTCCAATTTTCGAAATATTTAATTATGTTGGATCATTGCGACGTCGCAAATACTATCTCAAATCACTTATCAAAAACTCAACAAAAATATCTTCTCAATTTCTCTCTAATAGAGTAATCAGATGTTGGAACTCTTTACCCGCCAATGTGTTTCCGGTGAAGCCCTCGTCAGCGGCTTTCAAAAATCGACTATTATCCTGTGATCTAAAACATTTCCTTGTCTTGAATTCAACTAATTACTAACTCGGTTTTTCCTTCATCTCCCAATTACTACAAATGTATGTCCCTGTTATATCTTCTAGTTTCATAGACATTTCACGTGTTAGTGGTTTTCTCCCCTTTGTTGAAATAAATAAATAAATAAATAAAATAAAACAGAAAAAAGTTAAGAGTATCAACTTATTTATGATAAGTGGGAGAACAATCATGTCCTCTAAAAATTAAGAAAGTCACGAAAAAGAATCGTTGCTAGAATCTGGAAACAGTGGACTTCAAATGCTCGGAGGAAAAATGCACCCAATTTCAGAGACATTATTTTTCGATTTTTTGAACTAATTTCCTAAAATTTTTCGTAAGTTATAAATGACTCAAAAACCAAACTAATATGCATTTTCTGTAAAACATACAAATAACTGAATAGAAAATGATATCTCCTAAAAAATTTTATGACAGACATGTATTTGTTTGATCACTATTTTTTGTAGTGTTACAGATTTGGAATCCAGTGCAATGTCTGAAAAATTATGAACATCCCTTGTCGCATTTTTGATGTAGACAGACGCATTGTAGAATTGGTAAATGCCACAGAGACGTATTGATTGAAAAAAATTTAGTGTTTCAAAAAAATCATTTTGAAACTGGCTTCTTCTCAAAAACTTTAATGATACTATGTAACCCATGGCTTTATTGAAACAGAAATACAGGTTATTTGTTCTGAAAACATTTCAGTTTGATAAATTTCATTAACTTAAAAAATTAATATAATTAATGTAGTATATAAGCACACATCCGAACGATCGCACACGAATAAAACAGATCATATAAGGTTTTTATAGCAGTAAAATTTAGATGAGTG